AATAATTAAATTAAGATAATTTTAATTATTGATATAAATTATTAAATGAATGATTTAATTTATTAGTCTATTCTGAAATGATTTTTGTAATTGATTATTAATATTCTTTAAATTAGATTGTTGAATTCAAGTAATCATTTATTTATTAAGAATTCAATAATACTAATCTTTCCTTATTTAATTAATATTTTTATATGATTCCATATATTAATTAAGAAAATGATTTTTTCATAGTTTCTACTAATGTATAAAGATCATCAATCAAATCATCACATTCTTAATTTTTCTTATCAATGAATTGAATCAAGCTGTTGATTTTTTCAACATCATCAAAATGATCATTATGGATTCTTGCCTTCTTCATACATTTAAAGCAATTTAATCTGAATTCCCCACAAAACTAATTGTAACAAACAATGTCTATCTCATCTTAATGATCATCTTTTTAACATTTTATCTTTAAATTACATTACTAAATCATATTTTAATATTTAAAATCTAATATATATTCAAATACTTCCTTATATTAATAATTGGAATTCTATTAAACAATATCATTGTATTATATAATATTTTTTTTGTTTATCTAATAATACATATAAAAAATTTATGTTCAATCAACTAAAAATTATGATTTCTTTATAACTTTACTAAAATAGATTAGTAAGTCAATAAATTCATCAATTTTTAATTTAAAATGATAAACAATTAAATAAAGAATTTAATATTAAAAAGATTAGATAAACTTTTAAATTACCTTATGTTCATTATCCATTATTTATTTTATTTGATTCTATATATAATAATTTATTAACTGTGACATCAATTAAGCTTAAATAATTTGATTATTAATTTGAATGAGATCTGAGAGGTCAAATTTTTATTTCATTATGTTTCAAACTAAATATAGAATTATCAAGCCAGTTATGTATAATTTATAAATAAACTTCTTTATTGTTAATTAAAAAATTTTATTTTATTCAATTGAAATCTTTGTGCTAAATTTATGAAATATATTTTGATTGTATCTATGATAAAGATGGATTCAAAAATTTATAATGGATTGAACTGAATAATAATAATCTATAATTAGTAGATTATGAAAAAAATAATCAAAATAAAAAAAAAAATAGATTAGTAGAGATCTGAAATATGATGAAAATTATATTTTATAATTTCGTATATAATCAATTATCAACATATTCCAACACCTTTTAATTTATCTTTTTAGCACTTACTTTGTATTTTTTGTTTATTTAGATTTTATGTATTACATTTATTTATTTTTATTTATTACTTTTCAGATATTAAGATTCAAAATATAAGTAGTTTATTAAAAAACTCTCATTATTTTAATGGTTAAGATTTTTTAAATATCACATACCTAATTGTATTTATTTAAATCTACACTAATATTTCTTGATAAAAAATAAGTTTGATGATGAAGAATATATATAATATATATTAATGTTGTGGTTGCAAGAGATGAGAATTTTTTAAGTTTAAATAATAGATGTTAAATGTAAATTTAATGGCCTCAAGGTTATTAAATATTCGCTTCCTATTATCAATTATAAAGGAACCTATAAAATTTTATGTTTTAGTTATTTATTTAGAAGTAACTAGGCTATTTATTATTAAAAAATTCTAAATATTTTTTTAATTTGAAAGGGTTTAATTAATTTATTGAATTATATTATAATGAGAAGAGAAAAAATTATCTGTATGTTTTAAAGCTTAGGTGCATTAAATAAATAGTGAGGAGATTTTTTGATTTTCTTGTGATGTTTCTATTATGTATTTGATGGTGAATAAGAGGGTATGAGCAAAAATTCAATTTGGATTTTTGTTTTAGTAACAATTATATAGCTAAAATAAAGGGAATATGTAATTGATGGGAAATAATTAATTTCAGGGCAACCAAGTGTCAAAAACAAAATATCCATTAATTTCGAAGACATATTAAAGTATAAAACTAGATTAAAATAATTGTTTAATAATGTTAGATTTGGATTGTTTTAGCTGAAACTTAAGTAAGTTTTAAATTATAATTATGAATATTTGAATTTAGATTTCTTTACTAAATTATTCCAAATATATGAAGTATTAAATATTATTTCTATTTAACAATGAGTAAATATTTAGTATAATAAATGTTAAAAATAAAAACTAATAAAATCTGTAAAAAAAGACTTCATAAGAACTTATAAGCAAAATCAAAATATTTTAAATTTTATTAAAAAAAATTAGTTTGGAAAAGTATTACTCCTTTTTCTACTAAACTAGAATTAATGATTATGCCTATCTTGAAATAGGAAATTGAGTTCCAATTTTTTTAAAAGTCACAAAAAGCATATGGGGAAGAGATGGATAAGTAGGGAGTTAAAACTATTTTATCCAATTAATCCGATTTTAAATTGTAAGAGAATAATATAAATTATAATAAACAAAAATTTCTAGAAGAATTCCAGTATTTAGTAATAATAAAAATGAATTAAGAAATATTTGATAATCTAAAATTCACAATATTCCAAAATAAAATGCTTCATCAATCCAAGTTTGGGTAGAAAAAATTCAATAAAAAATTAGAAACTTTCATGAAATTCACTTAAAGGTACTAGTTATGAAAAATCTTTGAGTTTTGGCACAATAAACTGCAGATCTTAAAAACAAAACATTTAAAAGTGATGCATTAGGTACAATAATAATAAAATAAATCAACTTTCTTTTCCAATATAATAATTTTATTTTGAAAATCTTTCTGGAGTTTAAATTGCTCCATTACATTAGACAGCTATCCATAAAGCAAACATTGAAACAAAGAAGACAATGTATCCTGTTAATTAATTAGAAGTGACTGTGTATATCTATATATATTATAATTCTTTTTACAGTATTTGAAGATAGTTCGTTCTCATCAGCTAACTCTACAGCTATAATTTAATCAGAGGGCTAAAATAATGATATATCAATATATACTTCTGAAGTTTCAGTAATTTCTTCTAAAACCTTCACATTTGAAGATATTTTTGAAAATAGTACAATTAAGATAGCATCTTATTGTTAAGCAAATTTATCAAGTGCCTTAAGATTTTAAAAGTTCATAGGGATATTTTATACTTCAATCTTGAATAAATAAAGTAAATTACTTAATTATCCTTTTAGAGTCCTTAAGTAAACTGGATTGGAGAATAATCAACAAATGGGGAAACAAAAGTGGATTTAGATTTTAACAATTTTGTAAAATTCTTTAAACTTTCTATCTTTTTGAGTAATTTGCTTTAGAATATTTCGTTATCTTAATGAGATGTTTGAATATTTATTAAGATAACTTTTTTGTTTTCCTACTGCAATAATATTTTAATATACTTGTTGTCTTATTTTACTCATCAAATCTATTTAATTGATAAATAAATCAGAAGAGCTTAAGTCTGTATTCGTTACTACAATTGGATAGCAATAAGCAACAGCAAATAAAAACACAATTAATATTTTCATAATTATATTAATTAAAAATCGAATTTTCTTTAAGCTTTTCACAATTGAAATTCAAGCAAATCTATATCGAATAATTTAATTTCTAAAAATGTATGGATTTTAATACAATCATCAATTTATGTTATATTGTCTCATCCAATCAAATCGAGATGTGTGTAAAATACAAGATCCTTGAACCAACCTTTACTTTATTATATGTTTTTCTCTCATTAATATACAATAAATAGAAAAATATATTATTAAAAGTTATCCTTTTCAAAAAGCTTAAAGTATTTGCTATTTAGAAAAATTAATCTACAATCTATTAATAAAAGAATCACATGTTACAATTAATTAGATAATCCTTAAAACTAAAAATATTCAAAAAATTATATTATTTTACTTTTTTGGAATACATAAGACATTATAAACTATGGAAATTAAAAAGTATTGTATCATCATAATAACTAAATAACTATTTCTAATTTAACTTTGTTAATGAAATATTCATTCTTTAAATTATAATATTTTATTTATATATAGAATTCCGTCAAAATTTTTTGCCAAATCATATCTATTTATAGGAATGATAATTTTCATATTTCTTATATTTCTGCTGTTCCATATAGCATGACACAGTGTCTACATTATTATAAGCTATATTCAATTAATATATATTTCCATCCTAAAAAATTATATGATATATATATTAATATAACAGATTTAATCTATTATTTATTGGATCATCCTGACAATGAATAATGCTACTTTTACCATAAGTAAAGTTTACTTCATTACTATGCAAAAAACATGGTTGTTGATGTATAATTTGCATTCATGTCATAAATAAAAAAACCTAATTCTTTTATCTTTCTTTTAATTAATTTTAAATTTTATTAATATTTTAAATTATTTATACTTGATCATTGTCAGCTTATCATTATTTGATTAGAATTAATGTAAAAAACTTTATTACAAATTTTTAGATCAAAAAAAAATTAACTATTTTTCTTAATTAGTAATTTCTTAATCATGTTAGACATCTTACTTCTTAATATAAATTAATGATCAAATTGAAGGTTGATTAAATTTTGATTGCGCATTTATAATTCCTACCTTTATTATTCAAACTTGCTATTAAATTATTAGATAAATACAATTATAAATAAATAATTTTAGAATAATGATTTGGATTTTAATCTTAAAATTTTCATTCTAATATTTATTTTAATTTTCCTTATTTTAATTAAGAGATATTTTGATCTTTAAATTATAATTTTTTATCTATTATTTCTTCAAAAAAAAAGTTTTTAAATTAACTTCTAAGTATTTAAAGTATGCTGCTCTCTCAAGTAATAACAACATTTTAATGAAATTTTAGAAAATTAATTATAAGCTTCAAAAGATTATTACAATTAACAAAGTGTTTCCAATCTTTATGGAAATTCGATAAATATTTCATAATATTAATGATATATCAATTCTTTAGGGTCTTTTAGTTTTATTAAACATTAAGGGCATAAATATTTATTCTAGTTTATATTATCTATTCCTATCCTGGCTGCTAAAAATTCTTAATCATGTAAAGAACATTTATTTTCTAATAAATTATCTTTAATTTAATTTTATATCAATAAAAAATTCGACAATTAAGAGCTATTTCCAAAATTCTATCATTTTAATTCATATAATTTATATTTATTTAAAATATATTAATAAATCATCTATAATTTTAATCATGGTAACATCTTAATAATTCTAAATAATTATGACTATTGATAATATTCCTGAATCATCGAATTGATTTTTAAAATAATTAGTTAATTTAAGAACTATTGCTTAATATTTATATTTCTATTCTCTTTTTTAATTTACACAGTCTTTTTAATGGTTTTAGAAGCTTAAGCAATTTAAAATTAGTTTGGATCTAGATATAGATGATGATTATATTTGCTTTTTTAATATGTTTGTAATCTCTTTTTTTCTTATTATTTATGATTATTAGTCTGATTGATTCATTTAATATTATAAATTGAGAGCATTTTATACAAACATGGATACATTTGCTTCAGTAATCTTTATTATTCCATTTTAAACTTAAGATAATAAGGACCTTAAATTCATGGATATATGCCTTCAATTATAAATACAACTTTATAAATTTTTTAGGGACACATCTAATCAAATTATCCAATATTTTTAATATCATAAATATGTAACTTTAAGAAACCTTTAGCTTCTCTAATTATGGTCCCAAAAGGCATTACTTTAGTTTCTCCCCACATATTTAAATTAAATCTAAAACATCCATTAATGAAGCACTAACTATTTTTAAATTCATCAAATAAATTAGGATTGTATTTATCATTTTTTAAAGTTTTCCAAAACTCTTTCACAAACAACATAGTTTGAATAATTATTAATTGAGGATCTTTAGGTAAAATTTACTCAATTAGTCTGTACAAATATCTAATTAGGAATCCTTGTTAAATACTTCAATCCCAATGAACTATTTGAAGAGTTATTTTTAGCAAGTTCTTCATCCCTAAAATTGACTAGGTTAGAGAAATCAACTAATTACTCTTAATTTTGTGAGTATAAATGATATGATTAAAGAAAATAAGCTAATTCATAAAAACTTATATGATATTCACAGAATGGATAAATAATGAAGTTCAGCTAATATAAAGATCATAAATTATATGTTTATATTAACCCTACAATATGCACAGAATAAAATAAATAATGATGGATTCTTAAAAAATACATCAAAAGATGCATTTTATCAGAGAATTCTTATTTATGTAAATAAATTTGATTTATTTGAATATACCAATATTGATTCAGAATTATATAGAAAATTAAAAACCTAAAAAGAACTAAACGACAAACCATAACTTATATTACTTGAATATAATCAACTTATCATTACTAATAAGCATAATTTTATTTTCTGGTTTTCAGAATTTGTTTAAATTAAAGTGCTGTAATTCTGAAAAAAGTTGAATAATTTATTAATAAGAGTGAGAATAAATGATAGTATTTTCCGATTATTGATTATCATGCCTTACTTGTTAATGGGCTTCGTTTATTGATATATTAAGTTGTTTCTGAATAGCAATATTATTTTTTCAAGATGCATTTAAAGTGATACAATTATATATAAATCTAAAACTAATCAACATTCAAATCCACCTTTATATTTTATTCTTAAAACTTAAAGATTTCGTTGATAATTTCAAACTTCGAATTACCTATTGATGAATTTGCTCCAATTGCTTGCTTTATATCAAAATAAATATTACTCTAAAAAATTATTTTTTATTTATATAAAATAAAATAATTATCATAATATAATTGTTTTTATGAACTTGTAAACTAAAAGATAAGACATAAAGCAATAAAAGGTTTACAAATGGGATTCAATCGAAAGAAAACTCATGAAGATTAATATTCAAATAGCTATAAAGAATGATAATTTAATTTACTCATATTTAGGAAGAAACTTGAAAAAGTAAAATTGAAATTTATTTATTTTATAGAGAATATCTTCAGGACTATGAAACTTAACCTGTTCTATATTAAAATATGGAATAGATTAAATATTTTAATTGGTAAGGTGAATATGGACCTAACAAGAAAAAAATAGGTAAATGGAAGGCGATTTTGAATGGAGAAGCCATTTTAGTAGGTGGGTTTAGTAAATTTTAAAAAAGATATTATACTACATAAATGGATTTAAGTTAGGTTTATGGAAACAGCCTATAAAAAATTACTTGAGGTAAAAATGAAATGATAATTTAAAAATAGTATAGCTCAAGCATATGAAATTGGGAATACTTTAATGATTAAAAAACAGGAACATGGAAATATATTTATAATAATAAAATCATGGATCATTTTATATTACATTTTTTAGTGGTGGCTGAGCATTTAATGAGTAAGCCTAGAAGAGTTAGAGGTGGGTTGAGTTGAGTGATGGATTTTGGGATGGATCCTAAATCACTTTTAATGGAGAATAAAAATGGCAAAAAAATTTGTAGATATTGAGTACAGGTATGACAGTAATAATTAATTCATTTTAATGTAAAAATTTTATATAGAGTAGCTGAACAGTGGAGGTGGATAATATGATCAAACTGGCGATGAACTTAAGTAAGGAAATTGGGTAGAAATAACTGAAAATCAAGGCGATTTTTCTTATGTAAATTGGAGAGGTGGATATTAAAATGGTAAGAAGATTGGTAGATGGGATATTTTTTGGAATAAAAATGGAAATCAAAAAAAATGTAAGAAATATTATATAAATTTGAGTGGCGGAGGATCATATGATGAAGGAGGGGATAAACATAAGTTGGGTTATTGGGCGGAAATAATGGATAATTTTGAGTATAACTCTTAAATAAAATACAAGGGAGAATATGTAAGTGGTAAAAAAGTTGGTAGATGGGATATATGATTAAAGCATTTGTCTACTAATTATTACAATGAAAAAATGTACAAATAAAGTTATATAGTTTTAATAATAATATTTTGAACAATGGTTGGTTATTAATGGTGGTGGATTATATGATGAAGCTGGTAATGGATTTAAGCAGGGTGGTTGGGTAGAAATTTTGGATAATTCTGACGATTCTTAAGTAACTTATAGTGGTGAATTTAAAAATGGTAAAAAGTAGGCGTTTGGGATATTAAATATAGATATAGGAGAAGAGATCCCTTTTTTTAAATGTAAGAATATTATATAAATTCGTACTCCACAGTGGTGGTGGATCATATGATGAAAAAGGAACTGAACTTAAGAATGGTGATTGGGTAGAAATTTCGGATAATTATTATGATTCTTAAGTAATGTAGAGAGGGGAGTATATAAAAGGAAAAAAAGTTGGTAGATGGGTTTTTATGTACGAAGGTAATCAAATGTAAAAATAATATAAAAAATGTTTAAATTATGTCAACTCATAGTGGTGGGGGATTATATGACGAAGAAAATGATAGTATTAAGATTGGATAATGGATTGAAGTAGACGAGGAATTTTTTGGTTGCAAGTAAGTTACCTACCATGGTGAATATAAAAATTATAGAAAAGCTGGAAGGTGGGATATTTTGCTTGGGGATAATTAATGTAATTCTAATTATGTAAAGGGCTTAATTATTAACACTATTAGTGGTGGAGGATTATATGATGAAGAAAATGATAGCATTAAGATTGGGTAATGGATAGAATTGGACGAGGCGTTTAGTGGGAATAATTAAATTACCCATCATGGTAATATGAAAATGGAAGAAAAGTGGGGAGATGGAATATATTTATAAAGGAATAATTAATTTAAATAATATTATCTTAATTACTTAACTTATTTCAACTTTTAGAGGTGGTGGATCATATGATAAAGAAGGTGATGGAATTAAGTTGGGTAATTAGATCGAAATAATGGATGGATTTTAGCATTCCTCATAAGTAACGTATAATTGTGAATAGAAAATGGAAAAAAAGTTGGAACATGGGTGGAAATGAAAAGAGCACTTGATAAAATGTAACAAGGATTTGTGGAAATACATGAAATTAAATATGATAATTGATTTAAAATTAATAAACAATAATATTGTTAAAGATACGCATTATATCTTAATTTTGTTTTTTTTGGAAATAATCATTAATTAATTGATGAGTATTTATTTTTTTAGATTTAATTTGTTTCATTTCAATATGTTTTCACTATTGCATTTATTTTTGGTTATTTCCTTAATTGTTTTTTTCAATGTAATATTTATCTAAAACACATGTTAATTTAATGAAAAATAATATTGGAAATAAAAACAGTATCTTTTTCTTTGCTTATGGTTTAACGATTTTAGGATTAATTTCAAAATTGAGAAGATTCTTGAAATTATCTGAGGTATCTACTTAAATTATTTTTTTTTAATAAATGATAATTATCTTTTATAAACTAAAATTTGAAAATATATTTAATTAAATTATCATGTGATTCATTTATTTGTTTATTCAGATTTAATAATTGTATAATTGAAAAGATTTGTAGACTGTTGGACATCCTATCCATGTTTACATATTAATTTTTATAATATTTCTAATCCTTTTATAAAAATCATACTCAGTAGCTGCTTGAATCATAAAATTATAATTATAATATTTGATAATATTATACTTTTGAATATAATTGTTTTCGTTGTTTCATCTTTAAAAAGAATAATTAATTTATTTTGAATATTTTATCCTCCAGTTTAAGAAGGAGATTTTAAATAAAATAAATTATCTGATTAAATTGATTAATTCTTTTTATCTAAATTCAAAGGCTTTAATCCTGGATCTTATTTCAAATTAATTCATTAATCAATATCAGAACTTAGTGCTTTTCAATATTAGCTTCTATAAAGTTAGATCCTAAAGTATTAATCTTGGCCTAATATTATATTAATTCTTTAGTATTTTCTAGGTAGTTTATTAATTTAAATACAAATAAATTGTTAATTATTATTTATTTTACTGACCTTTCCTCACTTCCCTTAAAAATTCTGTCGAATTAATTTTTCGCAATATTATCAACCATTTCTGTTTTAAGTCCATTAGCAGGTTATTTTTCATAAAATTTTCTAGAACATCCATTTTGTTTCAAATTTTGATCTTTTATCAACATCACTCTTTTTAATAACTTTTTGTCTATCTTGTATTTTAATTGTTTTCTAATTTTGATAATTATTTACATTCTGGTTACTTTTACTCTTATCTAAATTTATTTTTTTTGTGAAGTTTTCAAACCAAATTATATTTTTTTCAGTTTATCACAAATTTTTTTCCTTAAAATCATTTTTAGGATCTAATAGGCTTTTTTTTGATAAATAGAACCGTTTAAATTTATATATTAATTTTACAAATAGTATGTGAGCTAATCCAAATTCGTGCAATTTCTGTGATTTGAATCCATAAAGATAATTCTAGTTGTTCCTCGATATTATTTAGGCATTTTTAATAATTTTATATATATTGTTTTCTTTCTTAATCCTAATAATTATTGTTTAATAAAAATTGATGGTTTCAAGATTTAGTTATATTCATAGAATTCTTTATCGTATTAATGGATTATTTGCAAAAATATTGCTTCTTACTCTGTTAAATTTCTAAATTGATGTAAAGTTTGATAAATTTTTCATTTTAGTTGAAAATTTCCAAAAATGTTTTGCAAAATAACAATCTTGACTTATTCCATTCTTTTTCGAATTACCAAAATTAATCTTTATTTTAAATAGAAAAATAATATAGAATTAATTAGAAACAACAATTTTTAATATATTTAAATAAACTATAATTTTTGAATTTGAAGTTAAATTTCCAGCGATTATTTATAAATTGGATGAATTTAATAATTGCGAATTAGTATTTTTTGGTATAATCACAATTGAATATACTTTAAATTTTTTGAATGATAAATAATAAATGAATACTTTTTATATTTGTTATCCAAAAATACTAAATACTATCCATTATTGGTCATAGTTCCAAAAATCTTATCATTTTAACAATTTAATGATGCCATAATATTAAATGTGCCATGATTTAATTCGCTAATCAGATAGATATGATGTTTATGTCTTACCAATATTATATTTTTATCTTTATTGTGAATCATTGAGAAATATTTATCATCCTCACATTCATTATTGTTATTCGATTTGATAATTTTATTATTATTTTACTAAAAGACTCCATTCTATATTTCAAAAACCAAAATATCATCAACATTCTTTTTTAGAGTTACCCAAAGTAATTGTTGATCATTAATTAAATATATTTTACGTCCAGAATCTGAAACATTTTTTTATACATCATAAAATTAAAAATAATTAATTTCATATAGAATATTGAAGAACTTGACTTTTTAAATAATAATAATGCTAAATTCAAAAAATTTGTAAATAATTAAAATAAATACTCACTTTATTCAAATATATATTTAAATTCCCATTTTCCTAATGCTCCTTTCTCCCATATGATAAAATGACAATATACACTAGATATCAATACTGTTTCAGATGAATTAAAATTAAATGAATCTACACTATTACTATGTTTATCTAATGAGTATTTAAAGTTAAGCTCATTCTTAATAACATCAACATTCCAAACTTTTATTGAATTATCCTAACCTGCTTAAATAAGTTGATCCTCCTTTTTATTTAGCATCAAAATTAACCTATTGATTATGTTATTAGAATGGCTATGAATCTTTCCAATCTTTTTGATTAATTTATCGCCAACCTATAATAGTCTTATCACGAGAACCAGAAATAAAGTTATTTCTTAATTTGCTATATACCAAACATGCAACAACCTAATTATGTTTTTAATATGAATTAATTAATTTTAATCTTCCTTATTCAAAATTTCAAATTTTAATCTCGTAATTCTCACAAGAAATTATGATTGATCCTGTTTTATCAAAAGCAATTGCTAAACATTAATTAATCTATTAATAATTATCATTAATTAATTTAAGTTCAACTTTTTTATATATCAATAATTACTATTCCTATTACTTATATTAAATTTCTTCTTCGCTCTTCCTATTGTTTCAGACTTTTATTTTGTTAATTTCCATTGATCAATATTTGTTTTCTTTTATTAAATTGACATTTTGTAAACTTATTAATAGTTCTTCACATTTCTAAGTCTCTTAATATGATTTAAATAGATTCAATTTTTAAAGATCTTTTGATTCTGCGATTAATTAATTTAATTAACTTGATCAACCAAGGATTTTTAAAAGGAATAATCAAGTTTAGATTGATTAATTAGTTTTTCTAATTCATCAAAGAAACTATAAGTAAGGTTTGATTGTCCCCATATCTAAATTTGTTTAATCTATTCATTTGCATTTTAAATGAAATATTCCAATTATTGAATAACATTTGATTTTAATTGATGAATAGCTTTATAGAGTTCTTCAAGTTATTTTATGTTAAAAATTAAAACATTCTCAATAAATTCTTTCTTTTATTGTTGATTTTCTTCAATAATTTCCG